GACCCCCACAACGACAGTGACTTGACGCATGGCGATGTGCTAGACATGTTGACAAGATTACAGAACAAAGACTCCAGTTACTTGACAGATATCCAAAATTTCATAATTCGAACGGAAAACAAAATCGTTGAAAAAAAGATGTTCTTTAAAGTAGTCATGTCATCCAAAATAGACGCCTTCAGTTACGATACGCAATACTTACCCGGTCTGTTCGAATAGTTATTTTAATGTCAATTGATGTCATGTACATACCATAATATTTTTGTCTTGTTTGGTAAATTATTTTATTGAAACAATACAATAAATGCACATTGTAAATACATGTAGAATCACCGGAGGCAAACTCCGATGTCTTTCATTTGTCCCGTGTTTACAGCACATGTAATTGTTGTTTCAATCAAAGTCACGCCCACCCTGAATAAACTGACTTCCTCTGAAAACCGACCATAGATCCCAGTCCCAGTCATGGTCGGTTTTGACAGGTTTTACTGTATATTTTTTTGTCTTAAGGATGAGTGAGACCCAGGTTCGTGGCATATTTTTGGACATTTTTTTTTTTTTTGCATATTTTCAAAGTTAATTTTGTACTTTGAAGAGTGCTAAATATTAATAAAAATGCGATGATAAACAGCTACACGTGTCATTGTTTTTCTATGGGCTTAACGACGGGCTAATTAAAATAGATCGGCAGGGGATTATGCAAATCACTGACTCGTTCTCGTTGAAAGTTCTGCTCATGCGACACTCAGTCATAACATCAACAACATGGCTGCCACCGATGCTAACACGTTTATATCTTAAAAAGTCCTCGTAAAAAGAAAAAACCTGGTCCGCCAAAAAAAAGAAAAACGCATAAATGCAGAGGCACAGTTCGAGCTAAAATTATCTGATGCTGGTTCATACTACGACCAAGTGCTTTCTTGAGTTCTGACTCTGATTCGGGCTGATCAGTGACACGATGACCCTCGACCACAGTCCCTCTTTGTTGAGGGACTGTGTTTTGACGAAGCAGCAATGCCGTCCAAGAAAATTAATATTACACGATTCAACGTCTTTTTTGAGTGCAAATCATTTTGTGTAATATATTCATAGTTTAGACAGCTCACGTGGGTGGTGCTACGGCAACAACTGTTTTTACTTTCAACGGACACGACCAACCGGACGCGACAGGACTGAAGACTAGATAGAACTTCCGGATCGAGCTTTGTTTCTTTTATCACGCTAACAAGACTAACATGGCTTATGACCTAATCCCACGTATTCATTACACTTTGCGTTTATTTATGTGATAAGATTAAATCGTTGTCCTCTCATGTTTACTCAGTAAACAAGTGATGCCATTTTACCGAGTGGTTTCCGAAACTTCGCTGCATTTTCCCCAAAAATATTCGTCGCTGTATGATTATTTTCGTCGATTGGGACGTCAAACATACGAGTATTATCAAAGCAAATTACCATGAAAAAAAATTATCATTTCAAATAGGTTTCCAGTCGAGTAGAAAGACAAGAAATTACTTTTATGCAAATTTGCCATTTTCGAGCCTTTCATTTTGGCACTATTATGCGTAATACTTTAATAGACGTCTGACAGACACAGGATTAATGGAACAGTTCAATTTTTTCACAGAAGATTCTCATCTAGTACACCAATAACTGTACGTATCACATTATTCGATGAACTTATTAAAACGACAGAAATCTTGAGTAGAATAAAAACAAATGGTAATTTATTCATAAATTGAAAAGTTTTAATTTTTTACTCCCATTTTGAGAAAACTAAGGCTCACATCGTACTGTCCGGACACGGCCCTATTCCCAGTTTGCTGATCAGTTGATAACAATAGACAGGATTTCTGCAACTCAGTATATTTTCCGTACGTCTGTTTTGAGTGAAAAAAACTCAAAAAAGCCTATTTTCGAGAGAAACACACATACACTTCACTAGTTTTAGATAAAAAAAAATATATTCACACAATTCACACACAGAGCTAACTAAAAATATATAACATATAGGTGTACAAATGCCACCTTCATTGTGAAATACAGGTTTGAATATAAGCGCCCACAAACCTTGGTCTCTTCCTTAAATCACTCGATAGCTTAACTGATAAAAACATGTGACTTTGCATTTGATTTCCCATGCAAACGCTCCACAATACTTTGTGGTACATTTTAATGGTGAATGGAACAAAGTATGCACTGTTTCATTTCATCAAGAGTGAATATATAGTAGGAATTTGCCAAAGTATAAAGGTGAACTATTGCTGGTGAAGATGAGTTAAGTACTGACTCTCCTTTATTTTTAGGGAATTGGCGATATGAATTTAGCATACCAAAGTTTTCGACTGGCCATTACTTTCAACAATGATCATGCTGAAGCCTATAATAATCTTGGAGTATTGGAGTTGCGGAAAGGACATATGGAACAGGTAAAAGATTTACTCATATACCGAGTATCCCAAGTTAGGTAGTTTTTTCCCAATGCCAGTAGAAAACGTTTTATAAGATTTGTGTCACAATTTGCACTCTGACAGGATTCCATGTACAGCGTGTACCATATTGCTGCCACGTCTGACATAAACAAGTAGAACATGTTCAGTGAATTTTTGAATGTTGGAACAAGTGCAAATATGCTTCGAAGCAATGCAATGCAATCCAGGTTTTTACGGAATGCTAAATTCTAATGCTTTTGGTATCAGATCTAAGAATGTTGTCATAGTTAGAATACTTGTAACATCTTGGATTGAATTCTTCATTCAGTGAAGTACCACGGTACCTAACCCCATATGAATATACAATCTATGGAACTCGTATCCTTGTCTTTGTTCTCCACAGGCCCGTGCATTCTTTCAGTCTGCTCAGATGTTAGCACCACATACATATGAACCATTTTATAACTTTGCTGCATTGTCTGATCAGGTAAAGTAAAGCTACATTTAGTCATTTTTTTTGAACAAGGGGAAAGTTATTTTTAAAAACTAGGGGGAGCCGTTTCAAATTACAGCTTGATTGAAAAAATGGTACATGTCCTGTACTTGCTCAGGTTGTGCATTTCTACTATTGAAATTACTCATTTTCTTTTCAAAATCATACCCTCCCATTCCTTACTTTACTGTTTTATTTATCACTACTAGGTTGGAGATCTGCAGAGCAGTTTCAACAATGCAAAAAAGTCAGTAACAAATTACGCTGAACACTGTGATTCTCAAGAACTATTTAAACAGCTCAGAAAACACTTTTCTATATTGTAAATTTAAAATGTTTCGTTGATCATTGTACTTAAGTGATGTATATATATATATATATAAGAAGCATTCTTTGCTGAATCTAATTTCAGCTCATACTATTGAATATCTCAACACATTTAATGATGAATCTGCGGTGAAGTAGGTTGCTCCAAACGTGTTGGTTCTAATGAGTCACTTTGAAAGCGCTTGTGAAGGGGTGAGCATCAAAAATGAATGAACATACTTTATTAAAAGTGCTGTCATGTTTTAGTTTTGCTTCTTGTGCTGGTCTGTCTAATGCCCTGAATGTAGTGGAGATGCCAAGAACTACCCAAGTTTATGAACCTCTCAACTGAGGGGGAAATGCATGGAGATTATATAAGCATAAAAGCACATTGCAACAGTGTATTTGTTAAGCACCCCAACAAACTATGTATGAATCATCCGTCCATGTGGTATGTAAAATAATTAAATTACATAGATATATACACATTTGTGAATGTCTGTTTTTTTCTTTCTTCCATACATTCTAGATAATTCAATAGACATCAATTGTGATTTTAATAGTCTATACATTTATTATACATGTTAATATTGGTAAATTCATTAAAATACATATCCACTTAATTTGTAGTCTGGTACTCAAATGATTTTGTCGACCTGTGTCAACACAACACAATACAGACATATGCTGAATACTAGTATTTTTTGGATATAATTTGTGATAATTTAATTACCACTGTTTGCATAAGTCATTACCACCACCCTTGTGGTTGCTAATAACAGCCTTAAAGAAACATCTTGATAATATATACAGGATTTTAAAAGCTAATAGCATGGTTTGCCAATGCCTCAATTTTTGGAGACATGATTGTGGTGGTTATCAAGTGACAACACATTTGGATTCATCCAGCCGAAAACATCTGATATTAAGATCAGTTTTTGTCATGGCTTTCATGCATGCATTGTACACTCATATACTTCACAATCAAGTCAAAAAAATTTGCAGCCTGTATTGACATTCACATTTTATTATGACTACATATTTGATTTGTAATTGGTCAGCTTGTCGACACCACAGCAACACTACACATTGCTGACATACACTGGCTTCAATCAGGACGATTACCGGGCAGTTTCCATTTTACTATAAATGAGTGTGGATTACAGTTTCTCAAAATTTGTGATGTATGGGTAATTGACTGCAAAATGGTTGTGTACATGCAAAAATATTCTGACTGCACTAGCACTGTTTCACTAGCACCGTCAAAATCATGTCAGTGGGTTTCCTGACTCGAACAAAGTCAATACACGTGTCGTCAGATCTGGTTCCGGGATGGCAGAAATGCTTTATTTTTGCCATTAAAATGGCCGCCATTCAGCCCTTATAAATCTGATCCTCAAACGAATACATGTACATGTGTGTGACATAAAGTCTGAGCTTATTGGGCAAGGCATGTCAGAGATATAGGCTCTGAAACGGCAATTGTTTAAATGGCAGTCAGTCAGCCATTTTGAATCTGGTGTGCACCAGGTCACATATGCCAATGTATGCACATGTAAGTGTGAATGAAATATACAACAGAATGGCAGGAACACTTGATTTTGATTTTAATCTCAAATTGAAAGATATTTTCAATTCTAGTGGTGCGAATGCACTTGAGATATGGGTGTCATAAAATGGCATAGACAGAACGACAATATCTTCACATTACCTCTAGTGTGTGCTACCCTTACACAGGAGCTAAAAAGGGGTTGTTTTTATGATAGAAAAATTAATAACCCTGATTAAAGCCAGTGTATGTTCATGCATAATAGTGAATACAGGAGCTAAAATAATAGGTCTTGCTGTTGGTGTGATTGAAAGCGTTTGCATTGATTTCGATGATATATTGCACTCTGTTGAATCCTATTATCCTTTGCGTCAACAGTAGCTCACTATTTCATCTTTCTAGATTTTTCTCTGCAACTCCTACACAAATGACAGAAAACATGAATATGCATTATGGTATATTTAAATTTCAATATAACGCACCACGACTTAAAAGTACATCATACATCAGATTAAATTATTAGTTAGTCCTATGTTTAGACCAGGCTAAATTTAGTGTTAATATTACCTTGTGTATTAAAATTTCAATGAAAAAACAAAAATATAATAAACATACACTTGGATAATGTTGTGGCATGAAAGCTTGTTAAGATTTGAAGTTAATGCTGCTCCTAACCTTGAAAGGAGTTTTTGTCTGCATCTCTGTTGCATTGTTATGACAGGGAGAATACAACGATT